AAAGCAAAGACATTTATAACGTTACAAAAGATTTCAAATAAATGCTATTATTTTAAACTTTCTATTCATCGAATAATCCTGAAAAATGCATCAATGTATCAAATGAACATATTAGAATGATTTCTGAAGGATCATGTGACACCGAAGACGATGGTGCTGAAAATTCAGCTTTTTCGTCACAGGAATAAATTACATTTTAAAAGATATTCACATAGAAAATGGTTATTTTAAATTTTTATAATATTTCACAATATTGCTGTTTTTAATTGTATTTTTCATCAAATAAATGCAGCCTCCGTGAGCATCAGAGACGTTTTTTTCAAAAACGTACCAATCCCAAATTTAATGTACAGTAATGTACTGCAACACAAGTGCATAAAACCCCTTTAACCAAACGTTAAAATAAAAAAAACGACAGCAGCAATATGTTCAATAAATGCTAATATGTTGTAATAAAATGTGCTGTGGAGATCCAGCGAAATGTCCGACCCACCTTCTCCATCCTTGGAGGATTTTGCCAGTCACTTGTCCTGCCAAATGCCCACAGTAGTGGCACTTGGCAGACTGGCCAGGCAGCTCGAGACGTGCCAAACGCCGGCCTTGCCAAACTCCGTCAGCACCCATGACAAATAAAGACAGTCTGTGGCGTTGTTGTATGTGTCATAATGGAGCCAGTGCTTTACAGCAACCGATTTTCAATCAGGAATGGGTGTCTATTATGGGATGCCTTCCAGGAGGCTGTTGTCTGGGAGGGATTAAAAGCAATCAGCATCCTGGGTGAATACAGTGTCAGGAAATGGCACTTAACTTGAATAGTGGCAGACTTTGGTGTCCCATTACCTTAAAAAGTGCCTTTGGCCAGTCCCGGCTCTGAGGTCTGATCCAGCAATTAACATCTTGACATACCTGACATTCATTTTATTATATAGCCTATTTTATAAAAATGTGCAATTTTTAAAAAACGAAGGGAAAAAGCACAAAAAAAATAAATAAAAATGATGTCCCACATTTTCATCCAAAATCCTGATCTTCTCTGTCTATAAGATCTTCTGTTGCAATAAAAATAAAATAAAATGTTACCCAAGAAGTGACATCATCTGAACCCCGTTATACAGCATGATGGACAGCAAGTAAATAACTTTTTTTTTTTTTTAGAAATTGGGGAAAATAAAACATTTGAAAAAAGAAAAGTAAATTGGAAAGAAAAGATTAAAAAAACAACTTTAAATATTTTGGTTCTTTCCATGGGTACAAAATAATAAATGAAACATGCAAAAACCATAGACCATAACCAATGCTGCAATTTAATGTCTATAAGCACATTGTGTGTGTGTGTGTGTGTGTGTGTGTGTGTGTTCATGATGTGAAGTTCTCTCCAGGGACGCTCAAGCTGAAATTAAACAATAAAACTCCACACTTCCTAATACGCTTTTCCAAACACTCCAGGTGCGAGTGAGAAATGCATTCTGGGAGCTCTGTGGAGGGTCGGAGGGTGAAGTTAAGGGTAAGAGCTGGCAGATGCTGTAGAAATAGCTCTCTGTGAAAGGCCGCAGCAGAATGAGCCGACTGCTAACGCGCAGATGTTGTTTACCGCTAACTCACGGCTCCATCGAACGCAGTGATTAAACACCGGGACCTGCCCTTAACGCTTAGTGTTTTCAAGGAATAGTTCATCTAAGAGTGAAAATGTCATCATTATTTACTCACCATCATGTTGTTTCAGACAAATACAAACAGCTCTTTCAAATAGAACAACAGCTAGATCTTGTTTACACTGGATTTCAATTTAAACATGAAACTATAATGATGCAACATAAGAAAACTTACATTGTTGTCCTTTTCTAACACGGTAAATAAAAACAAAAAACAAAAAACAAAAAAAACTTTCATTGTTTGCATTATTTATTTTTATTTTTAATAGATAATTAAGTAAACTGTTATATGTATCATATGCTGTAGATCCAATGATTATTATATAAATATAAAATTATATAAAACTTGTTTTTATTTGAACAGTCGTGAATACCGCAACAAAACAGTTAACTGAAACTAAAACCATACAAAAATAAGAATATATATTTGCGGTACAAGTACCAAAAACCATCTCAATTTATTTTTACAGCTCCTCTCTCAGGAGCTCTGCTGAGAACGAGTCGATTTTGGTCTGTCTAATTAATATTCATGAGCCTCTCTTCTGATTGGCCTGTTGTGTTCTGAGTGACGCACGGCCAGGCCAACCACAGGTAACACAGGTAAGCTAGTCACAGCGCTAGCTGGAGGCAGCAAAACAAAGGGGAAACTGGAGGCGGCCCATTCAAACCAGCGCAGATTCGGCTACATAAGGAGCTTAAAATATCATCTTGTTGTGATGTTGGGTTCCAGAATCGACGTAATACAGCCACAAATTAGAAATTTGATCGCATATCTGCTGCCACTGCCAGACAAAAAAACGATGACAGCTGTGGTTAAACGCGATAAAACGAGCAGACTGGACAGAAACGATCGTCAAAAATGCTCGCGTTTGCAGCGCACACTTCTTATCAGAAAAGGTTAAATAAAGTATTGTCTTTTGTTGTTATGGGCACGTCTACAGATGCCATATGTCTATGTTTTTGGAATCTCACGACTATGTCGTGTATGAAATAATGTCTGTGACTATATCAAGAGTTTTGAAATGAAAGGCTTAATTTAATTTTGAAAATTTTCTCAAAATGTATCTCGTTTCATCTTGCAGTATTATGATTATTCTTCATTCTTGAAATTTCATGACTTAATTCTTATAAAAGGCCTATTTAGTGATTATTATCAAACAATACAACTGTTCTTTTTTTTGTTCAAATATTGTGATAGAAACATTTGCTTCTATCGTCCACTCTTAACAGCCACTATGAACTGTATGTTGTATGTACATTCTTCCTTGTTACACAGGTATGGAACGACTTAAGGGCGAGTAAATATTGACAGAATTTCTATCTTTGGGTGAACTATATCTTTAACACCACTATGGTAGACCTCACATTACAGGAAACATACCTACTCACACATGATCTCACCAGAAGATTCATGAGAACAGTGCAAAACACTATCCTATCCAATATAACAGCATTCACTTAAAGTGGCGTCTATCAGCACTTATCTGTGTCTAATCCTCCACACAGACTGAAATATGAACAGATACTCCTAATGCGTTCCCTTCTTCATCTATATGCATTTAACGGGAACGCTCGGTGACATTTTAATTCGGGTATTCATGTATCTGCCAGAATATCCCAGTTCTGTCATTTTTTAAAACGCATTAAAAGGCATCATTAAACACTCTCCTAATATTCTCTCAGATTTGTCGTGTGTTCAGAGTAATCAATAAGGAATTATGTAATGAAAAGTCATTATGTTGTCACGTGATTTCAGCAAATAATAAATGAATGGCTTTGTGGGACCTGGGGGACGCATGCTCTGCATATTCAATGCACAATGAGTAAAATAAACAGCATCATAAAAAAAGCAAGCTGCTTTTTGTTTCTGAAAAATGTGAGGACTTTCCGTGTCTATTCCAGTTTTTCCATAACGGAATAAAAAAAAAAAATGGCAATGGTCTCAATTACACTGGACAAGTTTACTACAAACTACAAGTTTATTATAGTGAACTACAACTAAAACCATTAAAAAACATTTGCACTACTTGAACTAAATGTTACTGAAATTGAATATAATATTTAAAAATACTTATTTTATATTGGCAAGTTGCCAAAGCAAAATTTCTTATTTTCATTTAGTTGATGTATTAAAGAATACAATATAAAGAACTAAAACTGAAATATAAAAATATATTAAAATTTTTTTTTAAAAAGACAAAAAATACACAAAATTACTACAAATTACATTTATTTAATTAATTAATTTAATTAAAAACGGACAATTCAAAAATAAAAAAGAAGGATAGTAAAATCTAGTTATTCATAACTGTGTTTTAAAAAAGCCTCAGATATATTTAATAAATATGAAATAAGAATAAGTAATATTTCCTTGAAAAAACAATAAATGTTCAATTAAATATTAAAAAAACTTAAAAATGTATAAAACATTTTTTTATTTCAGATAGAAAAGCTAGAAATATAAAAAAATAAATAATAATAAAATAACTAAAAAAGACAAAAATATACAAAATTACTACAAATTAAATTTAATTAAAAACGGACAATTCAAAAATAAAAATTAATAAAAAAAGAAGGATAGTAAAATCTAATTATTCATAACTGTGTTTTAAAAAAGCCTCAGCTATATTGAATAAGTATGAAATAAGAATAAGTAATATTTCCTTAAAAAAACAATAAATGTTAAATTAAATATATATTTTTTAAAAACTTTAAAATGTATACAACTTTTTTTTTATTTCAGATAGTTGCCAACTTGACGATGTACTAAAAATTTATAAATTAATTAAACAACAACAACAAAAAACTTGAGCAAAAACTGCATATATATATATATATATATATATACATATCAGCTATATTGAATAAGTATGAAATAAGAATAAGTAATATTTCCTTAAAAAAACAATAAATGTTAAATGAAATATATATTTTTTTTAAACTTTAAAATGTATACAATTTTTTTTTTATTTCAGATAGTTGCCAACTTGACTTGATGTACTAAAAATGTATAAATTAATTAAACAACAACAACAAAAAACTTGAGCAAAAACTGCATATATATATATATATATACATATATACATACAGTAGCACACAACAAATTTACTAAACTAAAATTAAAAGCTAAATATATATATTTTTTAAATAGTAGTGATTGATTGATTGATTCTAAAATAACATAAAATCCAGTTGTTCATAACTGGATTAAAAAATTATACAGATTGCACCCACAAAGAGCAATTTCTAGTCAATTAAATACAATGTGCATAACTAGAAATGTGTATGTATTTTTTACAATTAATTCCCATTATTTTCCAGGCCATGACATTCCCAGGTTTTCCTGAGTCATGGGAATCCTGCAAGATTCTCTGTGACATTTAGCATCTGAATACTCACCAACTTAAAGGTCAATACTTTATAGGTAATTGGGTCTTCTACAATCTTCTGTAGGTTAGCAGCCACTGGTAGGAAAATATACTGACATTAGAACTGAGCGATATAGCTAAACAAACAATATCTGGATATGCAGTATCTCAGCATTCATGTATTTGCTCTGAAATGCCTTGAAGCAGGGGTCTTGAACTCAAATTGCCCTGAGGGCTACAAGCCTAATTGTGTGTAGCCATGAATTTTAACCACATGCATTAATTGGTGCAGTTATATCATTACTGATGCATGGCCAGATCTTTTCAGAGCAGAGCGACTCATCTGTATACCTAGCATATTGCTCTCAATGTTTAGTGAACTAATGACCCCTGGAATTGTTTCCTTTTGCAATTTTCTCCTTGCAGATGAAGCAGGTATGAGCTCCATTACAAAACCAGAAGCATCACGAGCTGCTGTAATGGTCAGAAGTCATACAGATATATATGAATATTTGTAATTAATATTTATATACTATTTTTTTAATATTAAAATATTAACATAAGAAAATATTTATTAAAACATACATTTAAAAATACCTATTATATTATGTCGACCTTCGATGCAATGTAAGTCACCTTAGACAAGAGTCTGCCAAATGCATAAATATATAGTATATATAAATAGTATTCTATAAATAACTTTTACTGTACCTTCTGAGCACACTGCTAAAAACTGATGCTTTTTCTTAGTATTATGTCTTGTTTTCCATTACAAATGTCTAAAGATCCTTTAATCAAAACACATTTTTTGAGAATCAAAATTACATAAGAGGTCTGGTTTTCTAAGAATTTGATCAAATTGAAGTGAGTTTATGAACAAGAACAAATATGTGCGAATGAGCTCAGAAAACTCTACTTAATTCAAAGGAAAAACTAGTTTTCATATTTCATGTTGTAAGCATAAAATATTTCATGTTTTAAGCATTATAACCAATTTTGTTCAGTTTCTCAGAAAACAAGACTTCATATCTTCATTTTGCATGTCAAGTAAGGCATCTTGATTTAAAATTTTTATATGCAACATTTCTTGCCATAACTATGAATTTAAGACTTTCTGCTCTGATTCAAGACCTTTTAAGATCTTCATTTGTGGAACAGCGAATTAAGACTTCTTAAGATCCCAAAAGGCCCAAAGAAACCCTGTATTACAGATGAATGAGGCAGTGCATTGGAGTTTAATGCACATGCAACTTACCCACAACCACATCATGACCATTGACCAGACCAGCAGAGAAGAGCTCCTGAGAAACTCCATCAGCAGTGTCTGAGGAGAAAAAACAACACAGCATGATATCACAGCAAGAAACCCGTCAGAACACAAAGTCAAAAGCATGTTCTGCCAAACCCACACACAAAAACATCAACAAACAAGTCGCAATGGCCTGGACTGCAGCAAGCAATGATAGAAAGAAAGCAGAGTTTAGTTGTTTATAGTTTACAACTTCTGCCACTTTAAAATATAATCAACTGATGCACAGTCAAACTTCAAATGAGTCTCTCTCAGACAGACAGACAGACAGACAGACAGACAGACAGACGACGGATGGATAGACGGATAGACAGACAGATAGATAGATGAACAGACAGACAGAAGGACAGACGGACGGACGGACGGACGGACGGATGGATAGATGGATAGACAGACAGATAGATAGACAGACAGACAGACGGATAGACGGATAGACGGACAGACGGACAGACGGATAGACGGATAGACGGATAGACAGACAGATAGATAGATGAACAGACAGACAGAAGGACGGACGGACGGACGGACGGACGGATGGATAGATGGATAGACAGACAGATAGATAGACAGACAGACAGACGGATAGACGGACAGACGGACAGACGGATAGACGGATAGACGGACAGACAGATAGACAGATGGACAGACGGATAGACGGATAGATAGATAGATAGACAGATAGACAGTCAGACAGACAGATAGACGGACAGACAGTCAGACAGACAGACAGACAGACAGACGGATAGACGGATAGACTGATAGACAGACAGACAGATAGATAGACAGACGGATATACGGACAGACAGAAAGACAGACAGATAGATAGACAGATAGATAGACAGACAGACAGTCAGACAGACAGACAGACGGATAGACGGACAGACGGATAGATAGACGGATAGATAGCCAGACAGATAGTCAGACAGACAGACAGATGGATAGACGGACAAACGGATAGACAGATGGATAGACTGATAGACAGACAGACAGACGGATAGACGGACAGACAGACGGATAGATAGACAGATAGATAGACAGACAGATAGTCAGACAGACAGACAGATGGATAGACGGACAAACGGATAGACAGATGGATAGACTGATAGACAGACAGACAGATAGATAGACAGATAGATAGATAGACAGACAGACAGACAGATAGATAGACAGACGGATAGATAGAAAGATGGATAGACTGATAGACAGACAGACAGATAGATAGACAGACAGATAGATAGACAGACGGATAGACGGACAGACATAAAGACAGACAGATAGATAGATAGATGGATAGATGGCTGGACAGACGGACAGACAGATAGATAGACAGACGGACGGACGGACGGACGGACAGACAGATATCTTTTTTTTAATATAAACAATCTTTTCATTGAAATTTCAACAAAAAATTTGAACATGAGTACACAAATAGTGAATAAATTAAGATTTTGGGTCAATCTTCTCACAGGCAGAGCTCATCATGAGTCAGAGCAGGAACTAAAGGAACGCTGCGAGATCTTTCACGCTGAGTGTCTCTTAAGGTTTCTCTATTGCTAATGCTGCCTTCAAGTCACTCCGGAAAGATCATTTTTATAAGACACAATGAACACCAGCACGATGTCATAATTACCAGTAGGAAACTGGATTTTCTTTGAGCTCTGGCTTACCGAGCTGGAGGCGTTTCGGCACGACAGAATTAAACTGGTATTAATCATAGTCAGTTTTCAGCATGCACAGTGACTGCACGTTTACTTCATGGGAGAGTCTTCTAGGCTTCATCTACTGTATGTTAAAACCTGGAATAAAGACCTGATCATTGTCTTGATTGAACTTAAACTGGAGTTTGATATGATACGTAATGAAAATGACATTTAAATTTTTGGAGAATGCAAACAAGTTGACTTGCAGTCAATTGATTTGATAAAAACAAAACAAGATTGTTTATTAATTAATTTTCAATCTGGTACCATGGCAAGGATGCGCTTCCCTTTCCTTTGTTCCCTTCCCTTGTTGCTTGGAAAACTACATTTCCCATCATTCCATGTGGTTGCACAAGAACGATAAATATATACAGTACATAAAGCATGCAAACCTAATGCTCATCCTTTACATTTCATTTTGTTGCACTAGCGCAAAAAAGCTTCAAAATTCAGTCAGCAAGTGAAAAAGAAATTGTGTCCATTTTATTCTGACCAAATTCACATTGTGATCATGTTTCCTGGCCTCGTAAGTGAGAATTTCTCCTGAGGATTTGAAGGCAGCATAATGCTACGACTGCGGCCGATTTATGATGAGGTGCACTGACCTTGCCCTGGAGTGAATTCAAACCGTATGTCATTCAGCTCCTTCCTTGAGTTCCTGAGGGAAAGATGGAGAGATAGAGAGAGAAAGAGAAGAGATATCTGTGGTGAGAAATGGGTGACCACCTGTCCGTCTGTCTGTAAGAAAGCCAAGTGAGATCACGGCCCATCTGTGCTGTTTCACTGAGCGTGTTTGGAGAGCCTGAAGTACACACACACACACACACACATGATACGAGCCTCATCTGAGTCCTGTCCTCAGAGCTCTCCAGATAATCATTTCGGAAGAAAATTTCAAGTAAGCAAGCAATCAGTGCCAATATCGGCATGTTTTGTAAACCAGCGAGCTTCTTCTTTAATTACAGAGGTTTGGAGGAGAAACTGTTTTAAACGAGTGTGCAGGTGGGCTTTTAGGAGGAGCACTGTGTTCATTTGAGTTGGTTTAATGAAGGAAGGCTTCAATGTACTGGAAGGTGATCTGTGGTTAAATGGCATTTCATATCACTCGTGGATCTCTCATCATTTATGTTTTTTCTCTGTTTTAGAGATTAATGTGGTCACTATGTGTATGGACTAACAAAAAAGAAATAAATCACTTTTTTTTCTTTTTTTTAATTGACAAATTAATAGACATTTAAAACTGCATATTTAACTCAGTTTCAAAATGTAGTTAGCACAAATTAATAAATACTTCTTAACATTTAAAAATGTCTATTTAATCCATGTTGTTATATAAAGTAAATACATATTTGTTTAATTTAAAAAGAATTTGCCATTTAAAAAATTCTATTTAAAGGGGTCATATGATGCTATTTTAAAGATCATTATTTTGTGTATTTGGTATAACAGAATATGTTGACATGCTTTAATGTTCAAAAAACACATTATTTTTCAAATACTGTACATTATTGTAGGTCCTCTATGCCCCGCCTCTCTCAAACGCTTCGTTTTCTACAAAGTCCCTCCTTCCGACAAGCGCAGTCTGCTCTGATTGGCCAGCTGACCCAGTGCATTGTGATTGGCCGAACACCACAAGCACGCGGCGGAAATTTAACGCCCCTTACCATAATCGCGAGCTTCAGCTTTCAAAGTAAATATCAAGACAGTTAATAATGTCGTTAGTTTTACCATCAGTTCAAGCCCGAAAGGGCAACAGAGTCACGTGACAGACACAGTGATGATGCAGTACACAAGCCGCGGTTAAGACAGCTGACGTGCTATGATTTCTGACAGACCGTTCACTCTCCTGTGATGTGACCCTGTTTCTCTGCGCTGCGCAAAACTCTGCATTTAACTCAGTCAATAGCAACAAGTAACAGTCAATAGCAAATACTTCAACTAATAACAAAACATACTTACAGTCGCTGATTCAGAAGCGCCAGATTGTCATAGCAAAGTCCGAATTGACCCTTTTTTTTTTTTTTTAAAAAAACCCTTTTGGCACAGCCAGCCTTGTACTCTTCTAGGTTCAAAAAACTGTCGACCATAAAATGCGTTGCACAAATTCGAACATCTGGGTTGTGCTGTTCTATTGTAAATAAATCTTAACCAATGGTTCCACATTGCATCTACTTCCAGAAGGCCAAATAAAGTGCTTTTGCTTTCACCTAGAAACACACAGC